ACGCCTGTTCTACTTCCCCTTTGGTCAATAAAAGCTGACCTGTGAACATTTGAGGCATTTCAGTTCCAAGCAAGCTTCAAAGAATAATCGAGAAGACGTAATCAAACGAAGTTCATAAGCAGTTTAAAACAAATAGCAAAAAATCAACACGTGTTATGTTAATGCCATAACATAAAATTAAACTTAAAATAAAAGTTTTGACTAGAAAATTTAACCTTTTCCAACCCAAGTTGAAGGCTCATGCATGTCAATTCTTGATGCTTTGTTGTAATATTGTGTAGCCAAAATGAAATGTTCTTCTTTTTCTCGTTGTTTTGTCTCAATTTTTCCCAGATAGCTGTAGTATGCACCCAAGGCATTTAAGATTGCGATTCTTTCATATCTAACATCAGCATAGTACTCATCAATTTCTGCAACAATAAAAAATTTACAAAAGGTGAGTTAAGATCAGAAGATCATATCGGTTGTGAGCTTGCACATTCTGTCAAGTAGCATCAACTGATTAAGGTACTATATTTATGCAAAGTAAAAAAAAAAAATAACCAAAATTCCAACATTTGAAAAGAAGCCAATACCTGGGCTAGACCCTTCTTCCAGAATTTGACGGAATTGTTCCAATTTTCCTTGCTTGAAGTATTCCCTCTGGAAAGTGTCAACGAAATATTACATCAAAACTCAGACACGGATGTAATACATGATGAGAGCAACCTCAAGAAATATATACTCAGATAATAGCACGATCAAAACGAATAGTTTGTCACAAAAGGCATGAACTTCTAAGTTTGATAGTCAAGTTATAATTGATCTCGAAGTAGCAATTTGCTCATTGTAGCCCATCATCATCGGGACAGCACACAATATAGATGAAGAAAATGATGGAAATTAGCTTTAAGCTAAAATTAAATGTATTTAAAATCCAAGATATTGACAGCAATTTAATATATTAAACGGGGAAAAAGAATCCAATCCTAAATAAATATGAGATTGAAGCCAATAAGTAATCTCAAGAGAAGAAGAAATTGGTAGTTGGTGGAATGAAAAAGAAAACTGAAAATATACAATGTATAATGTCGTTTAGGCTGTAGGTTCAAGTAATCTTCTTTTTTTTCTTTTTTTCTTTTTTTCTTTTTTTCATTTTTTCTTTTTTTCTTTTTTGTAAGGAACCAAGCTTTCATGGAAAGAAATGAAAGAATGTACAAGGGCATAAAAAAAACAGCCCAAAAAAAGGAGACCTCAGCAAACTACCTAAAGAGTTTTTGATCCAATAAAATCAAACTAGGATCACGTTTACAAAAAGGCCTAGTCACAGACGCCCATAAGGAGGCATTAAATCTCACCACCTCCGAAACCTCGACACATGACCTCTCCACCTCTCTAAGAATCTTATTGTTTCTCTTGAGCCAAACTCCTCAAAAAATACATAAAAAAAACTAGCTTACCACAAAGAAATTCCTTCCTCCCGAAAAGGCGACCTAAGAAGCACCTCCTCAATAATAGCGCAACCATCATTATTCCAAGCCAAGGATAAGCCAAAGGTAAAACCAATGAAGCCAGAGAGACTGGACAAACTGACAGCCCCAGAATAGGAATAATGGATTCAAGTGATCCTAAAAAACCTAGTGACATGAAGTTTTAGTAAACCCTCTAATATATTAACCAAGGACATTGGAATAGGAAATACTTCTACACATTTCTACCACCAAGAGCTAAGCTCGTCTCCAAGTTCGCAGTCACCATTTTTTTTTTTTTTTTTTGCATATATTTG